GTACAGAGGTTATTCCTTATATGATTCTATACGGGTGACTGCATTAATCCAATGATCGTTTTTACAATGCTTAATATTTATGTGCGTTTACTCCAACAGGCGGCATAGGTAGCAAGGTACTACTAGTGTGTTAATAGGTTAATCATCTAAGATCGTGTGTCGTCGTGCGTTGCTACACTCGCTTAACTATTTCGCATGCTAACATAAGAGAATGTCAAAAAGAGAACGGAAGACTAGTGGGCGTTAGGGTGGGTATATGGCTTAATAGATGAAATATGTGAAGCTGTATGTTAGTTCATTCTAATCAGTGATGCTATAATTAGCTTTTAGACTCTCAAAGGACAAATAATAATGGAAAAACACGTGTGGGAAGTAAATTCTATTCGATGACTCGTTGCTATGTGTTGATATAAATGTAATTCCTACCCAGGACAAGGACTTATGAATGATCTCCTGTGTGCGCTTCTTGTTTATATAAATTTGCGTATGTGGGTAATGCCCTGAATCGGTCATCTAAATGACATGGAATAGGTAATAGGAGAATGTGAGGCAGTATAGTGTGTTGTCAGTATACGTCATCATTGCTTCTTGTGTGTTTAACCTATGTTTTATCATCATTTCCTAATTTGATTTCAATATTGAACAGATCATCACAAACACGACGAACTCACACACACACTACTACTACACACATACTAGTCAACACCACAACACTCGCGACACACACTACTCCCTTCGGACAACAACAGCTACATCATCTAGACACAAACACACACTTATACAATACTTTTTTTTCTTCGGCACAACACAGCACACAAACATTAAATAACTACTTAAAGTACCATCTCCCGATATCTATTCTCTGATATAATTTTTCCACATAATTCCAGACAGTATTTACTCTAAGTAACTGATATTATATACAGTATACTCATATATATTATAACATTTTTTCCTTGTATTTCAACTGTACTTTTAACTATACCCAAAAATGCATTTCTACAGATACCCCGGCCTCTTACCAGAACTGGGATTGGAATGGCTGGTGGGAAAGGTATGACAGGAACTGTGCCGTCGTCACCATCAATGATAATGGTCCTTGGCGCCATGTCAATTGTTGGAACAAATTCTATTTCTTTTGTGAGATTCCTATGTTCCTTTAGATAATCATCAGTCTCCCTTCTTTTTTCTATCTACCCCCCCCCACTCCGTCTTTCCTTCCTCCCTATAATACTTTCTTTTTCTTTCCTTTCCCCCTTTATCTTAGATGAAACATGACTGTGATGATTAAATGCCTTATTAACTCTGTACTTTTTGTCAATTACATATAGACAACATACACATTTAATTTTAATGAAAATGAAAATGCAGTTAATTTCTCACAGAACAAGGAGGGTGTTTTAGCTTGTGGTTTCCAACATTACCTTGGTCGGGGTAAGGCATCTGTTGGGTCCCTCAACATTAGTACCTACAGCGAAGTCATGTGGGATTAGAATTGTCAAGTCATTTTAAGCACTTAATTACACTGTGTAATTTGTCTAATCTATGGATTGTCCAAATTGCCTGATATTAATCTTAAGCAACGGTTGGCCTTTCATTTATCGTTTAAGCTTATGGTAGAAAGTTTTCGAGATGTATTATAAAGCATGTATCAATGTTATTCCTGTTATTTTATGTGAATGAAATGTGTCATTAAGCTTAGCATTATGTAATTTATTATGTAATTTGTCAAAACGACCAAAAATACATACTAGGTCAAAGCAGTGAGAATTATGCAAATTGACGAGAGATTGTAGAAATCTTATTTTGTGACATATCCTTAAGGCGCGGTCACACAAGAGTTTTACCGCAGAAAGTGCCTGTACTACTTTGGTGTCTCAGACTCTGATGCACATTGTTACTGGTTTCTAGAGTACATATTGTCCGGAAAAGCGTGCGGATGCAGCATGCATAATCAGTAATCCTTTAAATTATTAAATAAGTAGATTTAATATATATATGAATAAATATCAATTACGTAATGATTTTGTATCTTAATTAAAAGTTATTTTTGACGATATTCCCTAAATTACATACGCAAAATCTAATTGAACCCTGGAAGTGACCTTGAAGTATGTTCCTTGCGGTTGCGATGTTATTACATTATCATCATTGCGGAGCTAACGCCGACGGGGGCGCAGGTACAAGCAAAGGGAAGCAGGATCCCTCATGGCAAGTCGCCAGGCCCATCTCGAGCTCCTCACGACAGGTTTGATCGATCTGCCCAAGCCACGACTTCCTAGGTCGATCCATAGGCCACCTCCACCCAGGGCTGTCTCATACAGACAACCTGGTGGGCAGGATCATCCTGAGGGAAGCGAGCCAGGTGGCCGTAAAGCCTGAGTTGGCGATCGCGGATTGTGCAGGTAATAGGTCCTGTGCCAGTCTCACGGTGCAGCCGTTGGTTGGACACATGGTCCCGCCAACAGTACCCCATGATCCGGCGCAAGGACCTATTACAAAAGGCATCAAGTCGAGACTCCAAGGCGCAGGATAGTGTCTAGGTTTCACTACTGTATAGCAAAACTGGCATTATCAGAGCCTTGAAGACACGAAGCTTGGTCCTTCTGCACAGGTACTGGCATACGCAAATACTCTTATCGAGAGAGTTCATGACCCCTGCTGCCAGGCCAATCTGTCTGCTGACTTCATGGTCTGACAGCCCAGAGTTATGAACTACACTGCCAAGGTATGTAAAGCTCTCTGTGACTTCAATGTCCTCGCCGCAAGCATGTACCGAATGAACAGGTTCTCCTAATATGTCCCTAAAGTCCTGGATCTTGGTCTTGGTC